GGGACCTTCACAATGGTTGTCACTTCTGTGGAGTCTTCCATAAGGAAATTCCAGAACTGCCTCTATAGGGAATCAATATATACAAAAGCTAAAACCATTATAGGTTTTTTATTGCAATCATGCAGTTGTGACAGACAATACTTACTGGGAAAATAAAGGTTTATCTCTTTGTGGTGTAAAGCATGCTATCAGCATTTACCAACTAGTTTTCTTTAGCTTTGGCTCAGCAAATAACTTAGGAATAATTCTCTCCCACATGAGTATTCATAGGATCATTACTTCGAGGAATGGCAAAGCCACAGAAGCAACTGGAGAAGTAGCAGCATCAGGTAATGGGTTACATAAAAGGTTAGGGCTGAGAGGGCTAGAAAAAGGCACTAGCTCCTCACTTCACTTTTACCTGAGAAGACAGGAGCCTAGAGCATTGTAATGAGAGATTCCAGGACTCTCAAGAACTCCTGCCTCCAAAGGATATCAAAGAACCCAAGTGGCAGAATTTCTGAAGGTCAGTGAGAATGAATTGAAAAAAGTCCTTTCCATACCCTCATCAAGTTGAGTGGTTTAGTGATTCTGCTTGGTTTTAAATTTCCTGACTTTTGAATTCTTCCCTTGCTGGCTGCAATGTCTATCTTAGCACTGCATGGCAAGGAACAACATGAATCTAATCCCCAAATTGTGGAGACTGATCCTGTCCTCAGTCTTCAACTTCTCCATCCTCATCGCCAGCTGCCCCATATGGCTGGCTCGCTCACTCACTCTTCTCTCTCTTACCCTAGCCACCTGGAACCAGGTCAGAGCTCATAAGTTAAAAGAATATCATCCTTCAGACTGCCAAATAGGCAGATGCCAGGGCAAGTTTGAGGAATCCACATGATACCCGAAAATCTTCTGACCTGCATGTCACAAATTTGGGGGTTGGCTTCCCAATACCCCTTCTGTATGCCAGGCACAAGTTCGAGAGGCCACACAGCACCCTTACTTTTTAACCTGCTGGTTCCCATTGCTCCTCTGAGCTCAACAAGCCACAGAATTCATGAAGTATACAATACTGTGACTAAAGATTTATTATAGCCAAAGAGGATTCATACCAAGAGATACATAGGGCAAGGTCTGGGAGGATTCCCAATGTGGACCTTCTGTATCCCCAGGCCTATGCTGTCCTTCTGATAACAGATGTTCTTCTCAACCAAGAAATTCTCTGAGCCTCTGTGTTCAGGGCTTATATTGGCGAGTCCTGCATGATAGACTAAATTATGCATCCTGAGGCTAGCTGATACTGACTTCTTAAGTGAATGTTTTCTGGTCTGGCTAGCCCTGACCTACCAGCACAAACCCTCAGGTATGGCCTGGACATCTCAGACCAAGTACCCCAAATACTCCAAGGATAACTTCTTTGGAGCCAAGGACAAAAGCCATCCTCCTAAAGTCCTTTGCCCCTTAGCACTATTCTAGAATGTTTGCCAACTAAATACAACACTTTTCCTCAACCAACTACCACAGGACACTTGTACAGTAGCTACTAAGTCAATACCTTTTGTTTTGGATGAACCTGCACAAATGGCTGGAATGCTGTTTTACACTAGCCCAACTTACACTGGTAAGTCTGTCTTCTTCAGTGTCTCAGTTCACCTTCCTCTCACTCTAATCCCTATCCTTCACTCTGCGGTATAGTAAATTACATAGTGTGGCTTTTCTAGCCATAAGTACTTGTAAACTCCATGGTGGAATTTCCTGTTAGCAACTGAGTAGCTCCTGATTGCTAAAGTTATCCACCTGGAGCATTTCTGTTGCATGTGGCACGAGGCAATCTTCTGGGAAGTTCTGTCTCAGGTGTATAGAATTCTGATGTTGGGATTGGTTAGTTTGGCCACTCTGCCAGGCTCAAAAAGGAGCCCTCATAGAGGCAGAAGGAGTCTCTCTGATTGCTGGCTGAGAAAGACATGCTGCTGAAAGAAATGCTCTCCTGAGAGACACACACTTGCTGAGAGAGGGACATGAGAGACACGCATTGCTGAGAGAGACACACGAGAGACACATATTGCTGAGAGAGACACTGAGAGACGTGCACTGCTGAGAGAGAGACTGAGAGAGACTATTGGCTGAGAGATGGCAGGCTGAGACTGAGCGCATTCCTGAACTTGAAATGTAGCCTATTGCTTCCCTAATAAACCCCATAATCTATGAGTTCTCTGTGGCCACTGCAGCGAATTATTGAACCCAGCAGAGAGGTGGTGGGTGCTGCAGGAGGAACGGTTGGTTTCTGGATTGTTGAAAGGGCTGGAGGGAGGCAGCATGTCTGGCCTCTCAGGAATAGGCCTTGGGCTACTGATGGTGATTCTGTCTTCTGCTTATGGGGTTAGAGGAGGTCAAAAGATGCAGCCTCCTTGCCCCTTTGGCACATTCCTAGCTGGTTTCCTCTGTGCTCTAAACTCTTGATATCATTCCTTTATTCAGAGGAACATGTAAATGACTGATATATTCAATTCTCCCCCATAAGGCTGTTTGTACCTTAACTAGAATAAGTTTAAAGGGATACAGCTATAAAGTTAGAATTTTGGGTGCTACTAAATCTTTGAAGAAACCCTACTTATTTTCAGCAGCCTGAAATCATACCCAGAAAAACTACCCCTATCTACTACAAGGCCAGTACAAATTTCTGTATTTAGTTGGGTGTCCAGTAATCAAGTGGAACTGTACTATACTTGTTCATACTGGTTTAAAATTGACTATTTACTTGTAACCTCACTAGAGTGTGTTTCTCAAGAACATAGACTGAATTTAATTACCTTAATATCTTCAGATCTAGCATAGCACTTCCTACCAAGTGGGGATCAATTGTTTAAATGAATACAATCAACTAAAATAAATCCCAGGATCAATTTGAGCAACAAAATAAAGTAGTATTGAATTATAACCCAAAATCAGTATCTGGTATAAAGAAATAATTAAATACCTTAAGAAACAGAGAAGAGACCCGTCTCCCATGCAAAGAATTCCAAGTAAATTAAGTACATACTTCCCCCTAAAAAGGAGATGTACAACTTCCCACTCCTTCAGTGTAGGCTATGCTTCCTGACATCCTTTCAGAGAGTAAGATGTAGAAAGGAGGGGAGCAGAATAACTTTACAGTAGAGTAATGTGACAAGAACTACACCAGCCAGGTAATCAGGGCAACATCAAGAGTCAAAAACCATGTTGATAATGTGTGTCTTTGATATGATGTGATAGAAATGGCAATTTATTTCTGTGATCTTCCTACCCAAGATCTATAATTCCAGTGAAATCCTGAGGAAATACATCACACAAATCTCAATTGAGGGACATCCTACAATATATCTGATTGTATTCTTCAAGGTCATCGAAAACAATGAAAGTCTGAGAAACTGCCACAGTCTAGGAGCCTAAGGAGAAAAGATGACTAACTGAATGTAATTATGTAAAACCTAAAGAAATCTTAATAAATTTGGACTTTACCTAATAATGATGTATCAATAGTGGTTTATTAATTATAAAAAAATGCCCCATACTATTGTAAGATGTTATTAATAGGAAAAGCTGTGTGCAGGGATTGTGGGGATGTGAAGGGGAGTGTATGGGAACTCTACCATCTGTTTGAGTTTTCTATAAATTTAAAACTGTTCTAAAACAACAAAGTCTGTTATTTACATAAATAAACAAGTGAAGGCAAAGAAAAAAAGAATAGAGTGCCCCACACTCTTGCTCCTTGCCTTCTTCTGGTTACTTTAAAAGCCACATCTAAACAAACTCACTACCACCAAGTTGATTTCAACTAATAATGACCCTTTAAGATAGAGTAGAACCCCCCCATAGGGTTTTTAAGCTGTTAATCTTTATGGAAGCAGACTGCTTCATCTTTCTCCTGAAGAGTGGCTGGTGGCTTTGAACCACCAACCTTTTAGTTAGCAGCTGATTGCCTTAACCACTACACCAAAGCTCCCTACAGGCAAACAAGTTACTAAAAAGCCTTGGCAACATTGTATTAGAAGTGCTTGTGAGACATCCAGTGATAGCAGATTTGCTCACCACTATTTTAAATATAGCACATATTGCAGATCATTATCAAGAGAAGTAAACAATCCTTACTCACTAAGAAGGGGCTCTGGTGGCATAATGGTTAAAGCATTCAGCTGCTAACCAAAAGGTTAGCAGTTTGAACCCACCAGCTCTCCATGAAGAAAGAAGAGGCAGTCTGCTTCCATAAGATTTACAGCCCTGGAAACCCTATGGGGCAGTTCTACCTTGCCCTATAGGGTAACTATGAGCCAGAATCAACTCAACGGCAGGGGTTTGGTTTTTATGGTATTCTCACTAAGAAGTACTGTGCTAGGATATAACAAATATTACTTAGTATATCAAAGTATTCCATGTGCTCCTCTTCATTTCCCAGCTTCTCTTGAAGTTAGGCTGTGACCATGTGACTAGTTCTAGCCAAAGGACCATGAGTAGAAGAGATGTGTGACACTTCTGGGCCTCTACCCTGCCATTCTTCCCTTATAAGTTGACTCTGGAGGCCTTGTATTCCAGATGGTGTCACTACAGATGGATGAAGCTTCATGATCATAAGACTTTTCCAGAGTGGGAAAGAAATCTTTGTAACCTTTATCTTGAGCCATTAAAATTTCAGGTTCATCTATTTAAAGAGCTCAAATTAATTACCCTAGTATACCAAATTATAAGGAGCTCTGGTGGTACAGTGCCTAAAGCATTGGACTGCTTACTGGAAGGTTGGTGGTTCAGACCCACCAGCTGCTCAGCAGAAGGAAGATGAGGCAATCTACTTCTGTAAAGATTTACTGCCTCAGAAACCCATTGGTGGTCGCTGAGTCAGAATTGACTCAATGGCAGTGAGTTTGGTTTTTAGAGTTTTAGACCAAGAGTTTATGTTGCATTCTAATGGCAAATGTGACTTTCTTGTCTGAGAGAAAGTTGTTAATCATATTTCTCTGTGATCTTATGTATTTCATAATACTAGTACTTACCACAGGCAATGGTCCAATAGACCAGAGAGTCTGGGGTCTGATATAGGATCCGATAGGGAGCAACCCTGGCACTGGAGTCCAACACGACATCAAGGGTGCCTACCAGAAGGCCTGCAAAAAAAAAAAAAGAGACAGGTAAGGATTTTCTCAGCACTTCCAAAATTCCCAAAGGTAATGTGGATGTACTCCTTGTGTTAGACCTCCCAAGAACTCTACCTCCCACTGCACATCCCCTCAACAAACTGTATCTCCCCTCAATAAATGTTCATCTACACACAATGATGCCAGCTCTATATTACTTCCTCCAACAATCTCCCAGAGAAACTGGTCTCAAAAATAATGCTTCTAGCAACTGGGATCTTAAAAGCTTGCAAGCAGCCATCTAGATGCAATGATGGGTCTCTCCTCATCTAGAGCAGAGAAGAATGAAGAAAACCAAAGATTCATGGAAACAAATAGGCCAAGTGATGGGTACACCATGCGATCCTCAGCCTCTAAGACTACGAGACCAGAAAAGCTAGATGGTGCCTGGCTACCACTGTCAACCACTCAGAGGGGGATCTATGTAGGAGATCCTGGATAGAGTCAAGATAACAATGTGGAACAAAACTCAAAATAATTTGAAAAAAGGCGGGGGGGACAGGTTTGCTGATCTGATACAGCCTGGTGGAACCACTGAGACTATGGCCCCTGCTGCCCTTTAGGTCTGGAATTAAACCTACACCTATGACTTCCAGCCAAATAAAAGACAGGCATATGAGGTGAATATTTACACTAGTTAGATTCACTCCCTGGAGAGAACAATCTTGGGAGAATAGAAGGGCTGTGTATGTATAGAGACATAGCCCAGGGGGCAGGAGTGCATGGAGGGAAGGACACAGGGAAGAGGTAACTAAGGGGAAGAAGTGGCAAGGGGCTGTTGCACTGTGGTAAACTGTAGTCAATGGCATGAGACAAAGTGTATGTGAACTGCTGTATGGAAAGTGAATTTGCTCTGTAAACTTTCACCCAAATCACAAATAAATAAATAAATAATGCTTCTAGAAGCCCTGGTGTTGCAATAGTTAAGTGCTCAGCTAGTAAACAAAAGATTGGTGGTTTACCCAGTGGCTCCACAGGAGAAAGACCTGCAATCTGCTTCTGACCAAACTCATTCACACGGCCCTAGTCGGGACAAGCCTGGCTGTTTGGCAAATGAGCTTAGTAATTTATTTGTGATAAATACAAATGCCCCATAGACCAATGCTCACTTAAGTAGAGTCAGTGCCTCCTTATTCCAAAAGGAAAGGTGTTGACAAGGAAAGGAAATTAAGAGAATGAAGCAGTTTGGTGATCAATGCTGTTAGCTGCTTCTATGGAGAAGTCGTCTCAGGTTGACCTAGTGAGCTTGTCAGGTAACATGACAATGTCACTACAGTGTTGCAGAAGATGCATGCCCCTGTTTGTCACTCAAATCATAAAAACAAAACAAAACAAAACAAACACCTCACTGCCTTAGAGTCAGATCCGACTCATAGCGATCCCTCCTTGGATTTCCGAGGAAGTATTACTACAGAAATAGATTGCCTAATCCTCCTTCTGAGGAGTGGCTGGTGGGTTTGAACTGCCAGCATTCTCGTTAGCCATCATTCTGGTGGCCTTAGGCACTATGCCACCAGAGCTCCTGTTTCTCACTTAGCGATCCTTTTTCAATATTCCAAAGTGAGCTTTTAGGTACAGTAGTAACAGCGAAATGGCTCTAACATGTTCACACTGGGAGCCTCCTCAGGGAAAATTTCTTTTGATAACCTTTCATCCAACGGTCTCTCCTCTAGGAAGAGGTGCCTCCTTTAGCTACACTGAGCTGGGACTGGGCACTAGAAATTTTCCGCACTATTTTAACACACACATACACACAATCTGCAAGGTCTAAACCTAGTTCCCTACTTGCAGCATGAATCTGAATGATTCACATAAATTAGCCCATCATTACTCCAAAGCCAGATGGAACCCCACATAGAGTAGGGCTTGAACCTGAGGGCCAATCAGAAACCCTGGCTAGTTGTATAGTCTTATGGTAAGGTGTTTTTCTTCCCAAAGCCTTGGTTTTCTCATTTGCAAAATGGTTGTTCTTGAAGACTGATTATAATAGGACTTAGGAGAAAAGGTGGTTAGGCACCTAGTTTAGATAGAACATTCCAAGACACATTTTATTTTATTTTATTATACAGATTTCATATTTATTGAATATGGCTTTGGGATGGAACTGAGGTGGCTGTGTAAGGAGTAAAGACTAAAGCCCTAGCCTCCCCTGCTCTGCCACTGTTGAAATCACACACTGCCTGACACACAGCACCCATTTGATGAAGCTCTGCTGAATCTGAACCACAAGATCTTCTGAAAATATCATCCCCAGAATCTCTTAAGGTATTATTTTGTAATAATGTCTTGATGTTTTGTCCTGAACCTAAAAGGTTCTACCACCATTACCAGTTGCCATCTAGTCAGTTCAGACTCATGGCAACCATCCATCTAACACCTTGCTATGTGTAAGCACAATGCCACTGAAATTCACTTTGCTCCATTCTGTATGTCGACATTCTGGCAGCCTGGGGCCCTGGAGAAGGCTATGATCCATTGGTCTGAAGAGTCTAGTTCCAGGGCTGGCTCTGCTATAACCAGTTCTGTGACCTGGGATAGGTCATTTCTGAGGAAATCACAGCTTTGAGTTCCTCAGTTGTAGAGTGGGGATAAAAGCACTTGCCTTCTTGTGAACTAGAATTATTACTCAAGAAACCTAAGTAAGGTAAACCATGGGGAAGTACTACAGTTGCCCTTGATCTCTGTCTAAGGGTAAGGAAACTATTTAGATTCACTCTAAACTGCAGTGACCATTAGCTAAACTGAAAATACACACACACACACACACACATATATATATACACACACATATATAAGTATATATGTATATATATATATATATATATATATTTCTCCTAAAGTAGAAATGAATTCATTTGCTTTGCTCTGTCTTGTGGGGAAATACATTAAAAATAAAGTTCTCAGAGCCTACAGAGATTTTCTGGGGGTAAATTTCACCGAAATGCCATACATATTTGCATTTTTGTTTGCTTACTATGTACCATAGACTGGCAGAAGAATTAACAAATCTGTCCTGGAAGAAGTACAGCCAGAATGTTCCTTAGAAGCAAGAATGGCCAGACTTTGTTTCACCTACTTTAGTCATGTTGTCAGAAGGGACCATTCACTAGAGAAGGATGTGATACTGGTAAAGTAGAGGGTCAGTGAAAAACAGAAAGGCCCTCAATGTGATGGACGGACTCAGTGGCTGCAATGATGGGCTCAGGTATACAGCAAAGATTGCAAGGCTGGCACAAGACCAGGCAGTGTTTCATCCTGTTGTACCCAGGGTCGCTATGAGTCGGAACCGACTGAACAGCACTCAACAACAACAACTGTGACCATGATTTACTGCAAAGATCTAGAATTACTGTTCAATTTTCTATACTGATGGAAGAGTACATTAATAGGAAAAGCAGAAAATAGTGCCAGTTGGGGTAACTAGATGTGCTTTCTATTAAATGCATGTTAACTAGTACAAATACATCAGTCATGAGAATTGAATGTCTGTAATATCCTCTCCTCTGTTCTCAATTCAAAATAAAAAAAACAAAATGCCAAAAATACTAAGAGTGTCACATATGTTGGTTCTAAGGCACATGAAAGCTGGACAATGAATAAGGAAGACTGAAGAAGAGTTGATATTTTGAATTGTGGTGAATACTGAAAAATTATCATGGACTACCAGAAGAACGAACAAATCTGTCTTGGAAGAAATGCAGCCAGAATGCTCCTTGGAAACAAGAATGGCCAGACTTTGTCTCACCTACTTTGGTCATGTTGTCAGATGGGTCCACTCCCTGAAGAAGGAAATCATGCTTGCTAAAGGGGTGGGGGGTGTCACCGAAAAAGGTGAAGACCCTCAACAAGATGGACTGATACCATGGCTGCAGTGATGGGCTCAAGCACATCAAGGATTGTGAGACCAGGCAGTGTTGTGTTCTGTTGCACAAAGGGACACTATGAGTTGGAGCTGACTCAATGGCACCTAATAACAGGCACACTAACTTCAGTCTAGGTTTTAGGGAGTTATCAACAGTTAGTATTAGTTGACATGGTTTGTTGTTTTTTAGATACCACTGAATTAACTCCAAACCATAGCAGCCTTATATACAATAGAACTAAATGTTCCCCAGTCCTGTATCATCACAATAGCTGGCATGTTAGAGTCCACCATTGAGTCTGTTGTGCCAATACATCTCACTAAGGGTGGCCCACACCCTAGCTGACTCTCTACTTCACCAAACATAATGTCTTTCTCTAGTGATTAATCCATTCTGTGATTTTTTTTCCCAAAGTGAGTGAGTCAGACAAAATTCTGTTGTGATCCTTAAGATTTTCACTGGCTAATTTTAGAAGTCAGTCACCAGGCCTATCTTCCTAGTCTGTCTTAGTCTGGAAGCTCCACTGAAACCTGTCCACCATGGGTGACCCTGCTGGTATGTGAAACACCAGTGACATAGCATCCATCATCACAGCAATAAACAAGCCACATAGTACGACAAACTGACAGACAAGTGGTGGCTGGAGTGAGGACTTCTGAGTAAATGCCACATCACCAACCCTGAGTGTGTATTCACAACAGGTGCCACTAACTTCCACTAAGATTTAGATGAAAACTAACAGATATCAATGTTATCTATCATTCCTATAATAGAGTTCATACTAAAATATATTGAACTGAATTACAAACAGTGTAACATCAGGATACTCATTTAGGTACCCAGGTGCCACAACAGTTAAGCATTCACTGCTAACTGAAAGGTTGGCAGTTCAGACCCACTAAGTGGCTCCAAAGGACAAAGGCCTGGTGATGTGCTCCCATAAAGATTATAGCCTAGAAGAACCTGTGGGGCTACTTTTACACTATTCCAACAAGAGTTGGAATTGACTTGATGGCACCCAATAATACATACATATAAATGGAGAACACTGTCTGAAAATTTTCTGCAAACTTAAGGCACTGGATATACAAGCAAAAAGCAATATTG